TTATAATTTCTAATACTATTAGCCAAGGCATAAACCCAATAAGGCTAGAATACCACCACAGCATATGACAAGACCAATCAGCGAATATTGTGCGAGCAATAACCCGAATGTGAACTTATATAGATTTTCTTGACAGTAATTTGTTTCATTGTATTGATTGTATTGAACTTTCGAGTTCGCAGGAAATACCCATACACTTCCCTATTAAAATCAAAATAACACTTATAGTAATAACATGTCGTGCGCATTTTACCGTTATTAACCATCCGAGAAAGAAGAATACTAATAAACATGAGACACAACCACTGATACAACCTCCAATATTAATATCATCAGAGCAACTTTTAAACGTTATAAGCAACTAAAAAAATCGTATGATTTTTAAAAATAGATAGATAAAAGCTTTACTATAATAAAAAGCAAACCAAAGGTAGCCAAACCTACGGCTCCAAAAATAGTCATCCATCGTGGAATCCAAGGTTGAATTGGACAATCATTTTTGTATACCTGGCCAAAGATTAGAGCAGATATTGGTAGAATAGTTGCTATGACTAGTAGGATTAACAATGCTATTCGCTTTTTTGACATTGATTCTCGATGAGTCTTCTCTGTAGTAGGTGAAGATATGTTTTCTGAGTTGGATATAGTACTAACTTTTGTTTTAAATGGTGGTGGTGATGGCGTTTGTGAAATTATTGCTGGCTCATAGGACACATCTATCGAACAAAAGATACGATAGCTTAAACCGTGTCATAGAATTTATGATGTTATGAATCAAGTGAAACTGATTTACACATACTCTGAGTGTTGCGTATTTGTTGATATTGAAATGAATTTGAATGATCGTGTACATGATATTGTTTTACCTCGAGTAGTAGTCCATAAATCGTAACACTTGAACGATTCTGTGTTTTCCATTCTAATTTGTCATTTGGGATGTAACGACATATTTTTATTCCTTGTCGACGTGCGTCAACAGTTTCCGGCTGAACAATAATAGAATCAGGCTTTTGTTTACATTGCAATACCAC